CTAGATTTCAAGAAGCAAAGGTTCATGAACACCTTCCTTCACACCTCTTCAAGTTCCACAGGCACTAGGAACATTCAATCCCGGGGGCCAGAAGAGACCTATTCTAAAGTAACCCTCCCCCTCCTCCCCCCCCGTCATAATATGTATAGGTTAAATTGAAGTAGTCAGCAGCAGCTCCTGTGATCTACAGATGTGCTCCTACTGTGCCATGCTACCTGCTAACGTAGGCATAGCCAGTGATGCAGACAGTGGTTCAATTCCCTCGGAGTCAGTACTAAACCAGCATCCTAGTAAGATGTCAAGGGAAGGAGTCTTGTGAAAATGTACCATTTATGTGATGACATGAATGATTACAGGATCCCATTACACTTTTGACAAGTTTATGAATGTTAACCCCAGTATTTTGGCCCAGTCCCAAATCCGGTGTTTATATATCCAGCTCACCCAGATTCCCTCCTTATTTCCAATTGGAAACATTACAATTCTTGCCCTGTGGTGTTATCAAGAGCATTTAAATAACTCCCTCATTTCATCACATTTCATCTCCTACATTTCTGGACTGAGCCAAACAATTGTTTAATATAATTTATATCTGTTGATGAAGTGCTCTGTAAGGAAAGACAAACTATTATTAAGAATGTATAAAACTGCCTCTATAATGCTAGCTTAAACCAGATCTCTAGAGAGTTTATGGGGGAGAGAGGGAAGAGCTTGGATAGCTGGGCAGAACTTTCCTACATGGCAATTAGCTAACAATTAGATCTATTCAGAAGATAAAATACTGTAGCAAATAGAGTCAAAAATTCAAATGTGGCAAGCAATTTAAGTCAGGTGAAGAGTGTACTCGGCCTAAGACACTGTTCAAAACCAAGATGAGGACAGTATCTGCCATATTAGAGCAACATCTGCCACATCAGAGGCACTAATGAACATGTTCATTTTAGTTATATTACTAACAAAAACATGACAGTTAAAAGTTACCTGATGAAAGCAGTATCAGTGGTATCCAACACTTGACAGTTAAAAGTTACCTGATGAAAGCAACATCAGTGGTATCCAACACTTAACTCCCAATTAAATACTGCTATGATGGTTTCAGCAACTGAAGTGGATTAAACACCTGGCCTATATGAAGCACTGACAAAACTCATTGGCAGCAGAAATTCTTTTGGAATAGAACCAGAATATAACACTATCTGTTTTGTTGTATTTTTTTTAAGAAAAAAGAGATCTTCCCATAATGATTCTGGTCTGACTTTAACTCTGCCATTGAAAAAAATACTTTTCAGAAGGCAGATGAAATTGTGAAAACTTGAAGTATTTTATAATGTTCTTTGAAAATTACCCTGAAAATCTCCATCTAAATGTAATGAGGCAACATTCTCAGAAGGTACTCACATGCAGCACCATATTCTAGGATACTTAAATAACAGTTACAGAGAACATTAAGAGAATGGAAAGTATCAGGTTTTATTAACTCATTATAACATTCAACTTAGTCAAATCGCAGATGCATCAACCAGCCACTGGAAGTTTCTAGTCCTTGACTTCCTGCAGAAAGCACACCTTGGTGGTACATATCTCTGGGACAGGCACTTTTGATAGATCCATCAGCTGAATCACAACTCGAGTGATTTTATTTATTTATCCCAGCTAACATGACAAACCTGTCACTAGGAATGAGAACTTCCAAGCATAAATCTACAGTGTCAGGACCTGATTTCTGCAGTGAAGTGAACAAGAAGTCTACCAGCTGGCATCCAACTCTTGATGAAAGGGAGAAGTTTAAAACCAAAAGTGACTATGCATCTCATGGGACTGATAAGCAACACCTAATAATCATAACAAATGAAAAAATGTCACATTACAACTTTACCATCAAAAGCTCTTCACTTTTCATTTGCTCAATATATTTTCAAACAAATTAATCTGAGGAATCCATCTTCTAACTTTGTTCTCTGTGAAGGAGTGGAGTTTTTTCCTAATCTTCTGCAGAACCTATTTTCCTGGTTTGAAGCTCTTTGTGTAGCTGGCTAAGCCACATGCTTCTGTCAACAGAATAACCTCACCCAGAAGCAGGATCTGAACAAATGCTTCACTTGCAGTAAAAGAAGAAAAATAGTACTGCCATCAAGGGCAATCATACCTGGAATGCATCATCTTCCTGTTTTCTAACATAAGAAGACCAGGCACTTTCATTTAACTAAGAGAAGAAATATGTGTTGAGCCTGGATCTTACAGTCCTTACTCACACTACTAATTCCTCATTAAAAAAATAAATAAAATAAAATAAAATAAAATAAAATAAAATAAAATAAAATAAAATAAAATAAAATAAAATAAAATAAAATAAAATAAAATAAAATAAAATAAAATAAAATAAAATGGTTAATTAATTGTGCAGAATATGTCCCCAGTCATTCAACAACCCTAAATAAATCTAGCACTCTCATATACCCTTGCCTCTTCTCCATCTTACCCTCTCACTGTACCCTGACCACTGAATACACTAAAGACTTACAATTTATAAATTCTTTAAAAATAATAAAATGCTGAAATTGTTAGTTAGCTATCTTTGACCACAACCTCTGAACAAACATGTCTAGATAACACACTACAGCCCATCCACTTGGAATCAAGGAGTTGCTGTTCCTGTAAGGGGCCTCTGGAAATCATCTAGACCAACCCCTCTGGCTCAGAGCAGGGTCAGCTATAGAAAGCTGCCCAGGACTGTGTCCAGCTGGCTTTTAAATCTCTCCAAGGATGCAAACTCCACAACCTTCCAATGCAACCTCTCCAGTATCTGACCACCCCCACAGTAAAAAAGGTTTTTTTCTTATAATTAGATAGAATTTCTTGTGTTTCAGTTTGTACCCATTTCCTCTTGTCCTGACACTGGGTACCACTGAGAAAAGTCTGGCTATATCCTCTTTACCCTCCCATCACATATTTGTATGTGTTGGTAAGACTCCCTCTGAGCCTTCTCTCCTCCAGCCTGAACAGTCCCAGTTCCTTCATTTTTAATTCAACTCCTTTTTCAAGTTTACATTATCATGACAGCAGCCAACAGATGATAACATAAAAAGGGAACTTGTTGCATTTCTAATATTAGTAAAACTGAAACATTCAAAAAAAGGAAGTTGACAGTTATATCACTACATTATTTGTATACATGAAACACAGCACAACTAATGAATTAAAGATTAATGCTAGGTTAAAAGAGAATGAGAGCATCAGCTACTGATTTCCAGGGATTTAAAAAAAAAAAAGACTTTGCAAAATGTGTACAAGGCCTGTATATCTAATTATGCTAATAGGCTTAACTAAAGGCCAAGGCTTCTTTATAAATAGAGTATCCATATACTGCTGGAAAGATGCACATATACACAATTTGCAGATTTAAAATATTCTTTTAGGATTTTATAGTATCATAGACTATCATATTATCGGGGATTACAAAGTCTTTTATCAATTTTGCAAATGTTTACAAAGATTATAAACTTGCATTGAATAAGAGAATATAGAGTCATTTACCCAACCCTTCACACTCTGAGAGATTTTACAAATGAACATTATAATAAAAACACATGGATTGAGCTAGAAATGAGAATCCCCTAAGGCATTAGCAGTGTTTGAACAGCTAGCCACTACTTCTGTAGAGATAAATCCAACTCTCCTGAGCAAAACTTACAGTGAACTCTGTGAGAGGATCATAATACTCGTTCAACACCAAGGCTCTCCAGAAATGAGCACAATTTGGTTTTGGAAAAACAACTTATTTATGTGCATATATGTGCATAAACATCCTCACATACAAATGAAAGGCATTAAATATATGATGTGGCAAAAGCTTTATCAGAAACAAGAAAGAAGGTGAAATGTTCCAAATCAAAAATGCATAATATGAATTCATAAGCCTTATGTCTGTTTATTCTATATTTTTTCCCTTGATTTAATAGATACTATTAATTTTTAAATTAAGATTACACTGTGCTCTATTCACCTTCACAGAGAAGCAGATCTTTGTGTAAAACGCGAAAACTTGAGGATTATCTGAGGAGAAGCAGAACCGTGACTTAACTCCATATTCCCAGCTGACAACAGATAGAAAGAATGACTGGCTACTGAAACAGTGGCCAAACGCTTTCCAATACAGAACTGGCTATGGCCCCTGATGTGATACACTTGTGCAAGCTCATTCCAAATGTAATAGTACTGTGCTGACGACTATTTATTTATATATAGAATTAATACACGTGTGCAATCCCTCCGGTAGCCTCCCTATAAAACACATGTACACACACACAAAGAGCAATACAGTAGTGAAGAAATTTCCCATCTTTATCTCTTCCCTCCTATGTAATGAAATAAATTTCTAGCTCTTGCTAAAAGCTCATTCACAGTTCTCTCACATTCACATTTTTCGCCTTGGTAAAATAATGATCAATGCAGAGCTCTCAAGCATAAAAAAATTCTTCTGATCAGCAAAGTGAATTTCACATTACGTTTCTGAAAAGCAGAATAAATTAAAGGTTTAAACAGGACATACAGAATGGAAAAATCAGCAAGCTGTCGTTTCGAGAATACAAAAACATATACAAATGCATACATCAGGACTGGCTTTGAGTTTATATACTGGTGTGCAAAATGAGCAGTTTATTGCTGTACAACAAGAAATTGGACTCCTTTCTTTGCGGCAAATGAAAACAGGAATATTTTCTTATTTCCCAGTATCTTTTTGTCCCCTAATCAGTACATGTATGTGCCTCTACATACTTATACTTGTGCACTTTTTCCTCACAGCGATTAAATGGAGTGGAAAATTGATGTCTAGAATGACCCTTCTTAAAATCAGTATCTTGTGACCTGGATGAAACAGTGTGAATCGATAGGTGGGTAGTGCTAGCAGACACTGCTGTTTTTCTGAGAACACACTTCCTGAATGCCACATAGAAGTTCTTGTAGCCCTGTTGTCCAGGTTCACCGTGCACAATACTTACGTGATGGTGTCAATCATATCCAGTCCCATTTCAACACAGCAATGGGCATGATCTGTTTTGGGCTGAGTCAATCCTGATACACAGTAGTAACAGTCCCCTAGGATTTTTATTCTTCTGCAGTGGTTTTCCTTTAATAAAAACAGAATGGCAAAAGTTTTACTATTTATATAAATATTCCAGTATTTACAGGATAAAATCTTCTCCAAAATTATGCAATCATTCAGGGAACCCTTTCATGGTCAAATGAAGTAATTAATCTACAGTTCACGAAACCTGGGTTCCTTATAAACAACAGCTGACATACACATATTTGTTTGTTTATATATTTATAAATACACACAAATATACTGGAAGATCAGCCCCACATTGTTCAACACACATGGGGTAACACGCTGCTTAAAACCATAGTTCTGAACAAATTCCCTTGCCCTCATGTGAGGTCAGTATGAATTTAGGATTTTCAATGAGACTTTATTTCTGTATGGATCCAAATCAAAGCATTGGATTTGACTGAAGCAAAAGTATTACTGAATATCAGGAAATGTTTGTCTTTTGAAAAGCTTTTGTTTCAAATCCAGTTCCACCTTACCAGGAAAGATGATACATTTATCTGTAAATGTATAAAGATTTGTATGTTAACAATGCATAAATCACCATTTACAATACCGCACCATCGGTGTAAATATGACACATATGCAGATCAGAAGATACAGTCAGATTGGATTACCATCGAATTTATCTCGTGTTTTCATACAGTTTACTTTCTACAGTCAAAGAGATCTGGATAAATCTCTCCCATTTTGAAAAACCAGTGACAGCATGTGATGATTGGTACATAGGTCTGAACAGAAAGTTCATCTCTGAACAGAAAACACATTAAAAAATGCCTTTAACAAAGCAGTGCCTTTAACAAGTAAACTATGAGGAGACATGAAGAGATGATCATATTCCTTGCAGCTAGGCTATGGCAACTTCTACCCATTTAGAGTATGGCACAGAAAAGTAAATAACCTGATTAAATGCATCCAACTTACACAGCTGGAACTATGCCAGGAAGTGGCATGCAAAATTAGCTGTTGTGAATATGATGAGAGAGGATTAACAAAAATCTGATTTCTCCCTCAGCAGTGTGCTACAAAGACTTCACTTCAGTGGCACAGAAAGGGAAAAAAAAAAAAAAAAAAAAGAGGGTGGTGGTGGGGAAATTTGAAATTTCTGAAAAAAAATTACCCAATCATACTGATTCAGCTTCTCACATTGGCACATATTCTCATCCAGTCTCCTGCCTACAAGAATCAAAGCTTTCCTGAGCTGACCACACTCTCCACATCATTACCCATATTCCAGTCAGAAGTGATGGTTATGCTTGCAGTCATCCCTTTCTCTCTGACATGTCATATACCAGCATTTGGGGCTTGTTATTACACACTCATCCAGCTACAGGCATTCCTATATCTGTCTTCTTTATAAATGTTTCCGAGCATTGAACAAATATTATAAAAGGAGAATTCCCTCTGTTGAAGCATGGAAGAAGGAATGCTTACACTGTTTGGGAAAACTGGTTTGTCTACTTCTTTTATAAATTAAGCAGTAAATTCAGATCTTGAATCAAAGAAGAGAGCCATCTTTTTGGGTATGCTTAACTAGTAGAAAAGGCTTTTCTAAGAGTGACTACTTAATATTTCTTCTGTACAGCAGGATTTAAAATATATCACTAATTATCATTGCTAATATATTTAAATGAACGCAAGCATAATTATTCGAGAAGCATTATCACTAGGGCCTGGGAGTGTTTCCACAGCTATACCACAAAATGCCTCACCAATTTGACTTAGAGTTTTAATTGGGTATTTCGAGATCCTTACCTAAATAGTATTATAGAAGTAAAATAATTATCGATGCACACAAAGTAATATGCAGACCTCAAAATATATCCTAACACAAAATAGGCTTCCAACTCAAGGTTTCTGGACAGAAACCACTAAGTTTTTAAATAGAAACCACTAAGGTTTTTAGTAGAAACCACTAATTTACACTGCCTAAATAAGCCATTTTTTAAAAAAAATTGTGGGCAAATCTTGAAGCCGTAGAGGGTACTCAGTAGTTAAAGCTATTTCCAAAATAAACCCAGTTTTGGTCCACACCTCACAGTCCTCTATAAAGACCTTTTCATCTTCAAATTTGGTATGCATGATTTGCGGCCAGGCAATGACTATTTGACCCAGCTGAAAGTTATTCAGAAAAGCCATTTCAGTAACCTGAGGTGGACAATATGTATGTGTTAATCAATCAGCGTTCTCTCCTATTCAGTCTCTACCTCCAAGACGGCTCATTTCTAATGACTTGTTTTCTTAGAGAGCTTACCGTGCTATAGAGCAGTAGTGCACATTTTATAACAGGATACAGAAAATTACTGTCAGACTGGCACAGCACTTGATCCATTACCACTCTTCTAAGTCAATTTATTACTTGTGCAGGAGAAAAAGAAAAGAAAAAGAAAATATGGACTACAGCAATTTCTGGAGAGATATCAATTTTCATGGAAGACATATGGCTAAATCACCTGTTGTTTTTGAAACCACCACTCTGTTCCTTATCAGATGTTATCCTCACTGTCCTTATTAATCCATTTATCAATTAATATACAGTAATCTCTGAAAAATTATTTGTTTTCTTTTTCTCAACATGTGAGACAGACTTCCAGGAATAAGATGCAGTGCAGTTTTGTTAAGCACAATTTTTTAAGGATTGATATGCAAATTAAAAAAAACCCAAATCCTTTCCCTCTCTTTGTTTTGTTTCCTCAGCAACTTCCAAAGAAGTCCTTGACTCAGCAAGATTTTTCACATTTGTGACAGTGATGAATTCAAGTGTGATAGTTACAAATTCTAGTCACAGTTGATACAAGCAATGTCTGTTTAGAAACAGCTGATAATTCGGTTTTATGCACATGATAAAAAGCACCAGAGATTGCTAGCGCTGCATTAGCCAGGCAGCTTGCCCACCTGCGGTGCCTCACTGAGACGTTTCCAAGCAGATCTGCAGAATTCCCTCTGGCACAACTGTCAGTCACAGAGTTTGTCAGTGTGAAGTGGTAGCCCACATCGGAAAGCAGAGGATACTTCAAAGTGGCTAAGAGCTTTCTTTAAATTTTAAGACAAGCAATTTATAAGGCAGTTCATTCTACCTGTTAGAATGGGGCAGGGGGGGGCTTCTGTTTCAAACATCTCTGGGTTTTTGTTTTTATTGTAGTTCTTTAAATGTATTTTGCAGAAAGAGTGAAGTCTGCAAACTTATTTGGACCATTAACTCCACATTCTTGTACTATATAAGTGAAACACTTTTTTGTATACTCAGTATGTTGGGTTTTTTTTTTATAAAAAGGGGAAAAGAATTTACAATTTAAAAACTAAAAAAAAATTTAAAAGGTTGTGTCAAAGTAACAACAAGGCGTAAGAAGCTTTCAGACCTCTCCCAGTATAACACATAAGCAAACAGCTAGGTGTTCTCTTGAACAGAGAGACTGTACTTGGTAAGTGCAAAGTCTTTTAAAGGAGGATCTTTCTCAGGTGTCAGATTGCAGCAATACTTATTGTCGCTTCTGGTTTGTTTGTTTTTTGGGTTTTTTTGTTTGTTTGTTGTTTTTTTTTAATAGGCTATCCAAGTAAGTAATCATCTGTTACATGATTACATGAAAAGTCAGGGATGACCAGTACTTATTTTTGTTTCTTGTAACACCGTCTGGTATGAGAAGAGCCTCTTTAAAGCTATTATTTATTTTAGAGATGGCAGATGCTAATGCAGGAAAGAATCCCTGCACTGCCTTCTGTCACTGTGACAATCTATGTATTTCTACATACTCATGTGTCATCATGGTGTGTGAGTATCTGTCAAACTGAGTCAAACAGGAAGGTCAGATAGACTACAATTTTAAGAAGCAAGATTTTAAAAGCTAAACATTGAACTTCTCTCTCTCATAACTCCACTAACTGCAGTGGAATTACACCAAGGATGTCTGACCTTGTGTGACTTAATTACAATATATTTTATGCTTATCATACACATCCATTTCTTTTTCTGCAAGCCTGCTAACAACCTGATTTGCAGGCATGCTCTTCAGGCTTTTACTGTCCTACCCTCCTGGGATCACCAGTCTATGAGTAGAAGGGATGTTATTTATCCATACATTAGAAATACACTTTTTTGATATTCCTATTAATAAAAACTGCATCAGCTAAGGTACATAGAAAGATTCTTTACCATTTTCAGCCAATATGGATTTAGTTATGCTGTACAGAGTAAGAGAAAAGATTAATAAGGCCTACAAAAAGATGCATAATCAGTGATTCTCGTTTCCCCTAACTCAGACCCTACCAGTTTTGCACTCTCCTAGACATGAGCAGTAATAAAATTTTGTTTTGTTTACTCTAGAAAAATGTGAACAGGAGTTTGGTCACTACCTACGATGTTTAGTGCTTGCAAAGTTAGAGTCTTTAAAAAAAAAAAAAAAGAAAATCAAAACCAATGCATGTCCAGGTTCAGCTATTTAAATGTTGGGGTAAAAGGGAGGAGATCTATCAGGCCTGGACTTACACTGAAGTCTTTACTCTCTCAAGGGAAGGCTGTGGCAACCTCACCAAACCACAGACTTCAGCATTAGTGAGACCTCTGGATATTGCCCCTGAGTAGCAGAAAATTAGTACAAGAGCAGCACTGCATGCAGCAGAGAAGTGGAAGAAACTCAGAAACCCTTCGTGCCTCCCCTACTCATTCACTGATTGAGATTGTTTGAAATGGGGGGTGGGTGG